AGACCCTATAAACCCCTAAACCCCTAAACCCCTAACCCTAAACCCTTAAGCCCTCCTCTTAGCCCTAAAGAGCCTTCAACTATTTAGACCCCAAGCCCGACTCGGGTTCCTTTACAGGGTTCCTTAAAGGGCTACTATTGGGTTTAGGGGCCTTAATAATTAGAATAGGGTTTTGGGGGAACATTATACTATATACTTATAATAAGGAATTCCCCAAACCTTATTCTAATTATTATAAGGCCCCTACATCATGCACCCCAAACCGCCCCTACATCATACACCCCAAACCAGGCTAAACCTTCAAACCTCAAACCCTAACGACCTGCACCCCAAAATCCTGCACCTCAAAACCCTGAACCCTAAGCCCTATAACTTTTACATATTTTGAACTCTAAACTCCTAAACCCTACACCTAAAGCACCAAAACCTAAAACCCTAAAGCCTAAACCCTAGAGGCTCAAGCCCAGAATCCTAAGACCTCCAAGGCCCATGCACCCTGACACCTTCAGCCCGCAGCCTTCAGGCAGATGAAGCATTGGCTGAAGCCGTGCAGCGACAGGAGATGAGCTTCGAGGCGCGCGCAAGCTTGGGATGAGCTTCGGGTTCCTTCAATGTTTAGGGTTTAGGGTATAGGAGTTTAGGGTTTAGGGTTTAGGGTATATAGTGTGTATAGGAGTAGGAATCGTACTGTAGTAGTCAGAACCGCCATAGTTGTAGTCGCATTAGCAATGGCAATGTATGAGTCATTGTAGCTACGCTCGCTAAAACTAGTTACAGGAAGGGTCTCTTGTGAACTCAAGAGGAGGTTCGGGTGTACAATGGGAATGTGAATAGGATTCCCCCAAGGAATCCATCAGCATCCGGTAGGATTATACAAAAGGCGCCTTTTCCAGCGCGGCTTTGGGTATAAGGTTACAAATGTAGTGAGGAACCGGCGAGTATATGAGGGTCTCTTGTGGACGATTCCCACAGCTGCATGTTGCGTCTGTGACCTGCCATCTTTGACTACCAGCCCAAACATGCTGGGCAACTCTAAACCCTAAACCCCTAAACCCCAAACCTCTAAACCCTAAACCCCTACATCCCTAAACCCCAAACACCTAAACTCTAAGCCCTAAACCCTTTGCAACAACTGCTAAGAGGTCTTCAAGGTTTTAATAAAGAGTCGGTCTGCTCGCACGAAGCGCTAGTTGTGACATGAATCGAGCAAAACCTTACTTGTAGGTTCACGGGTAGTTATAAGCGGGGGTATAAGCCCCCTAATAGGGTCATAACGGTCATAATTACAAATACTCTACTTATAATCCCTATTTATAACTACCCATGAACCCTCGAAGTACTTGTTAAAATGGGAACCTCATTAAGCAACCTCAGCGTTTCTTTATCAGGTTCCTACATTAGGGTTTAGGGTTTAGAGTTTTTGCATGACACTCAAATAAATACGCATGTCGTCTAGCTCTGTGTGGCAGAAGCGCGATTACAGGCACGATCCTGGCATGACAGAACAATTACAACTAAACCCCAAACCCCTAGCCCAAACTCTAAATCCTACTTACAAGGATTTGGGGTTTTGGGTTGTTAGCGAATTTGTGTTTCAGAGTTCAGGGATTTGGGGTTTAGTTTGGGGTAAAGGATGGTGTAAGATTGTAGGATTTGGGATTTATTGCTTGGAGGTTTTCGGTTTTGGAAGCGGACATACAAAATGGCAGTAGCCATCTGTGGTGTGCCAGCCTCTTCTGCGAGCGTCTTCTGCGCCTTCTGACTCCTGCTCATCAACCAACGCCAATGCAGTCCCACAGGTGGGCCTTTAGCATTTGAACCCGGACAAGAGCAATTTTTCAGGCTTCCAATGCAGCCTTCAGACGCAAGGCCAATTGGCGTTCAGGGTGCGGGCAAAGGGTTTGCTGATTCCCTAAGGCCTCAAACCCAAACCGAACACCTCTTAGGGAAATAACTTCTGAGAACTCAGGCCGAGAGACAAAATCTCGAGAACGCTGCCGAGCGAAATGGCGCTGCCCTGGTGGAGGCACTCTGAACCCTAAACCCTGGGGTTTGGAGTTTGGGTTTGGCGGTGTATGCCGGGGTTAGGGTTTAGGTTGCAGATTTAATTAGTCCAAGTTTAGGCCTTGTTTGGTTTGGGACATAAGTTTGGGCTTTGGGTTTTCGTTGGTTTGGGCTTAGCACTCTCGGTAGTTTTCTTGTTTTTGGGGGTTGGGATGTAGGGCTTCATAAGGCGTTGAAGTTTAGATTTTAGTTTGGGCTTTGGGTTTTGAGAGGTCTGGGGTTATGGTTCAGGGGTTTAGGTTTGCCAGGGTCGAGGCTTTGTTTGTTTTTGTTGGGGGGCATTGGGTTTAAGTAGGGCTTGAGGTTTGGGCTTTCGTTGTTTTTGGTTTGTGGTTTAGGGATTTAATTTAGGTTATCATAAGAGAGAAACCATATGATTTACTTTATTTAAGTTAGATCCCTATTATCATATAGTCTACTCTCCCTATTATCATATAGTTTATTCTATTAAATATGGTAACTGGTATGAAATTCAAAAAACAAGTTTTGGTTTGTAGTTTGGGGTTTGGCCGGGGTGTCGATGTCTGCCGCGGATGAGGGCTTCTGAGTTCGGGGTTTCGGGGACCTGCAGATAAAGGGCCCAGGATTTCTCGGACTTGATTGGAAGATAGAGAGATAGATAGATAGATAGATTGATAGATAGATAGATAGATAGATAGATAGATTTTTATACACATAGGAATAAACTTTGTTATATATAGAGAGAGAGAGCTCGCAGTACAGCGAACTCGCTGTATAACAACCCCTCCCGCGAGAGCAGCCTACCCTAAGGTTCTTATTTTTCGTTACCTCTGTTTTTTGCCGGCTGAGTAGTTAAGGTAGGCTAAGATTCTTAATCACGTTCTTATCTAGATGCAGCATGTACATTGAGCCAAAATGGCCGCGTTATCTACTCGTACCTGCCTTGCCGGACACTAATTCGTTTCTGCCCCGGGGCAGCGGCAGGCAGGGGTGGGGGTGGGGTTGGGGGCAGGGGTGGGCAAAGGCAAAAACGAATTAATGTCAGACACTAATTAGTATTTGCCCAAGGCGGCGGCAGGCAGTGGTGGGGGGCAGGGTTGCAAAGGCAAAAATGAATTCGTGTCAGACACTAATCCGCTTTTGCCACGGGGCAGCGGCAGGCAGGGGTTCAGGCAAAGAGAGCTGCTCATCCTCATACATGCGGTGGCCACAATCCGCCAAAATGAGAACCCTATTCCAGTAAGGTTCTTATTTCCGGGCTTTTTCATAACAAGCCAAGCCACGACGAAGCCACTTCCACCCAACAAAAGAATAACAACTTGATCCCTAAGGTTCTTAGTTTTGAGGCAACCTAAATTTTGTGAATCCCGCCGTGGGTCGGGGCTAAGGTTCTTAAACAGTGGGTTCTTATATGGGACGTTCACCGTATCTCGTATTTATGATTTATGGAATGTCGTTATCGGAAATTCTCCTGCAGTGAGCCTTCTGTGTAACTGCTCAACGGTCAGCGATGTGGCGGCTTCTAAGGCATCTCGACCCCTCAGGCACCTAATTATTATATTAGTGCACTATTTATATTACTACACATATTTTTGTTTGTCTTTTCTATAGTTTTTTGAATATTATGATGTTGCTAGTAATGTTAATATTGCTGTTTTTACGATGCTGAATCTGATGATTATTCCTCTTTCCCAGTTATAATAGCTGACAAGGCTACAATCGGCTGGGATTTGCCTCCAGGCACGGGAAGAGTCTGCGCGTGCCAAAGACCAGTGCGAGGACTGGTCACCGGTTTGTTCGCAGGTCGTCCAAAGGAGTCTTCTGCGTTTGTGTAGGTTTGCCTTTCGTGGCAGATACCCTTTGCCTTTCAAGCCTGTCACAATATGCCTGTTCCACAATACCTACATCCCTCCTTTGAAGTGCACTCTCGCAGGAGCGACAGCGGGTGCTAGACGAGATGTCCAGGGAGCTGCAGGAACGTCACGAGCCTGCGTTCAGTGAGGGTTTCGGTCTTGGTCTCATAGTGAGGAAGCTATAAGGGTGCTATCTGGGAGGCCTACAAGCCTAGGCCCTCCTTCTACCCTCTTACTAAACCATAAATACTCAGCAGTAGTAAGGACCTTATACCCTATTTGAGGGTACAAGGAGGGTCCTGGAGGGCTCTACAAGGGTTGGAACGGGGTTTACGGCGTCAGGCTAGTATTTCAGCTTTAGTAGTTTGAGGT